TTTTCGGCACTTTAAGATTTTATTCTAGTTTTCAGTTTCCATATTTTTTGTTGAAGTTATCTCTAGCTCTAAGTCTTGGTCTTGCTCCTTTGAAGGCAGTGTGCCTCCCCCCTGACCCTCCCCTCTGCTGCTTGTGGAAGGTGCTCTCTTCCTTTCCTTTCATCAGTGTCACTATGTTGTGCCTCCATGCACTCTATTATTTGTGATTACTCTTTAATGAGTTGGTTTTTTTGGGAGGGGATCTTTACAGCCATGTTAGACACAGTCCAATGTTTGTGTAAAACGGGACTGGGTTTGAATATGAGAAACGTGTCAGAAGCCCGTGTGGGAGAAAACTGGGCTAAATATAAAAGTAAGGTTAAGACGAGCATTTTGATTTCATCCTAGCCACATGTTTTGAATAAGAACGTTTAAGTGTTTTAATAAGCGGCTCTATATAATTGGAATTAACTTTAGCTAGCAGTTTTGGTATTTTTGCTTTTCAGCATATTTAGAAAGTAAATTTATATAAAATTTTTATACAGAAACACTCAGTGTATTACAGTTTATTACTGTTGATTGTGATTTTTTTGTTAGAAACCTGTAGTCAGTTCTTTCCTTCTTTGCAAAGTGGTTTATTTAAAAGACCTGTAATGTTTTACTAATTTTGTTCAAGTATACTTCTTTTATACTTTGGTAATAACATCTACATATCTATTTAATTAATTGACAGTATGTCCTTTACAAAATTATTTTTAGCCTTTTAGGTAATTGTCAGAAAACAGTGCATGTCCAGTATCAATTATTGGGTTGTTGGAGAAGTCATGACGCATTTTTGCAACGAAAAACATGGAAAAAGTATGTCATGACTTTCCCGACAGCCCAGTAGCTGTCGTCACCGCTGGTATTTTCCCTTTTTGACTCAGCAGCGTTAAAACCAGAGTTGTACGGTCTGACTTGAAGACATAGGCTAGCAGGAGAAGCAACCATATAAATATAGACAGCCCTGATGAGCACCGTCCTCAGCTTGTTACTTTATACACTAACCAATACAGGAAGAATTTGAAATTGCAATACATGACAAGAGTTTTAGAAGTGAAGTGAAGCACTTTGAGAGACGTGTCATTTGAGACTTGCACACTTACCTTTTAGGTGTTCTACTCCAGTCCAATTTTAACGTGACACTGTGTTTAACATGGAAAATTCATGGGCTGATGCCCCCTAGTGGGCTATTTCCAAAATAAATAGCACAAATGGACATAGGGGATGGAGGTATTAATACATGTGAAATCATTCCTTCTTTCCTTTATAAAGTAATTTTTAAAAAGTCACTTCTGAGGAAAAACAGCAAAGGGATTATTATTCCTGTATTCCATATACTTTATATATTCTAAAATGTATCAAATATTACTTTAACCCTTTGTAAGAGAATGTACATGTATGTTAGCTGGACACTGATGTAAAGAAAAATAGGTTGTTGGGTGGGCTGTCTGTCATTGTCGTCCTATACATCTAACTCGATTAGTTATGAGTGCCTTAAAAATATGATGAAATGTGATAGTAATTACAGGGCTAGCCCACTACCCTCTCCCCCCAAACACGCATGCGCGCACATCAATGGACTTGGGAACTTTGTTGTTCATACTTAGTTGCTTGACTTGAAAGGTCCAGGAGCTGTATGAGGCATTGGAAGAAATAAGGATTTTTGTTGGTGAATTGAAGCTTATTTGCTTTTACTGACGTTATTGGAAAAGCCTTGTTTGTGTGTGATGGGGTTTATGGAGGAAGTGGAGAAGTAGCAGCAGTGTTTTAAGAAAGACTTCAGATGGAAACAGCTGATTTTCTTTAGTTACCCAGTAAGATGCATGATGGTTAGAAGCTGTCCGATATAGTGCATATAGGTTTGGAGATAAGATAGAACTGGTTTTAAAACTGATTTTGTCTCTTACCAGTTCTTGGGCACTTCTGTAATATTGTGTATGTTACTTCATCTCTGAACACAGGTTTCCTCTCTTTAAGGAGAGGTTAAAGCCTACCTTATTGAACTGCTCACAGCTTGCTTTTTATTACATAAAGTGTTGGCAAAACTCTGTTGCTATTATTCTTAGAGTAGGGGCAATTTTGAGTTATGAAGAAAGTGCACCATGTGACTTATTGACTACTGAGTTGTTGGTAAAGACACTTAATGAGAGAATGTATCTTAAAAAGTGGTAAATCAGCCCATATCCCCTTTTCTTTACTGTGGCCGTTTTGCTGTGCTAGTACCTAAGTACATGTCTTATTTATCAATTCCTGGCTTTAAGTGCGATTATATTCAAGAATTTACTAGGTCAATTATTTTAATTGTTGAAGCCTGCTAACCAATTCTTTTAAAGGGATCCAGTAAGATTTTTTTTTTTGTCTTTAGGAGTAATAGTTGCATGTTTCGGCAGGTTTAACTTACCAAAAAAACCCAAAACTTGGTATCTATCTTATTTTTAAAAAAAAAGCTTTTGTGAAGGACAACAAAGTAATGAAATGTTTTTTGTTTTGCTTTGGTTTTCAAGAATTACTTATAGAATCAGGCTCATTATGTTATAGTGACTTTATTTAATATCTAAAGGAATTAATCTGAGTCCATTTCCAGAGGAAATGAGATTATTTGGAATTATTTAACTTAACAGAAAAATAAGATTCAGGTTTGAATCATAAGATTTTCTTCCTTCTAAAACTTTCCTTGGTAGCTAAGTTGTAGAAATTTACTAATTTTTAAAAATAACTTGCTGTAAAAGAGAAGAAAACTAAACATATCTCAAAATATAAATACAACTGCTTGGGTTGTGTTTTTGGAAGTATGGAAGTAGGTGGACTGTAAATCATGTAAACAAAGGTACCGGTAGTTGCAGACACACGTTCAGAAGGCTGTCGTCTTTTCACGCCTGCCTCTTTCACCTTTTCCTTTATTTCTTTGGTTCTCAAAATAGCCCACATTTGAATGCGCCTAACTGAAGTCTCTTGTTCTAAACCCTACATGTAACTAATAAAGATTTTAACAAAGGGCAATATTTTGACAGTGAAAATTTCTCTCGTAAATTATGAAATAGATTTTTGTTGTTTTATCCTTGAATATCTGTTCTTGGGAGACTATTTTTGGAAAGAGAAGGGGCAAGCAGGGGTGGGGGACAAGGGGGAGGAGATAGCTGGAACAAAGTGGAGAGTAGACTGGGGGGTGATGGAAAGAATACATGCCATTCTACCAGGGACTTGTTTTTTAAACATACAAAGCATATGTGCCAAATTTACATATTTACTAATTAAAAAGGCTTCCTGGAAACATTAAGTAGACTATCTTCTATAACCTTTAACACTGTCACTAATGGATATTGCATAGACAATTTCATCGAAGGTCCTTTAAATAATGTAAATGATTATGAATATGTAACTAGTTAATATGCAGCTACGACAGGATTCTCATGTAGAGGTTAATGAACACTCTGCTCTTATGGTTTGCAGGGCTTTTCTTTTTGTGCTTTTGGCTCACTTCATGCTTGGAAACACATGCATTGGGATTGGAAAGCATCCTGACTGGTTTTGGGTTTCATCTTTGAATGGGGGTGTTAAATAGGAACTTTATAAAAAAGGATTTCATGAAGATTTTTTTTTTCAATTTACATTTAATTCTGTTTGTCTATTTTATAATTACTGCCAAACCCGAAACAATGAAATGGATTGATGTAGTTTTAGGCTGTCTCTTCCAGATGTAAAGCCAGTACTCTATTATATATTACCACTGTTATTAAGTGTTGCTGTGTGATTGATACTTGCTGCAAGATCTTCATTCTGAGACGGATTTTGTATGCTGAGTTAATGTGTAGTATGGCTGGGTATCTGATTACAGCATGTGTTTTGGTACAGGATTGCTGCCTTAGTATTTAAAATGTCCTAAAGGAGGACATTTATTGCAGGAATTAAATGTTATAAGAGAGAAATTTAGTGACAGTCCCCCTCCCAATCTTGTGATTTTTGGGTAAAACATTGAGTATATATAAGAGACAGTCTTGGTATCTAGAGCAGTAAACTAGAACGGTGTGTTTCAAACCAGATAATACTGCTGGCTTTTTGCACGTGGCCTTGTATTAAGCCCTTTGGCTTTTATTCCTTAGTTTCTCTGTCTCTAAAATGGTGCTACAGTATTTGAGATTATTGTTTAAAATTTTTATTAATGGACAGTTTAAAAACCTGATTAGTAATCTTTGAAAACAGTGTTATTTTAAAAATTGCCATTCAAATGTTCTTATTTTTCCTCTTATTGGTTAGTGTTCTTATTTGTTTTCTGAGCATTTTGAGAATCTACTGAAATATCTCTAAGGGAAACAAATAACTTGTGTACTTAATTTTATTGTTTTAGTACTATAAGCATAGTTTAAACTGGCTATGAAGTGCTTAAAATTTTATCATAATTCACTGGGGGAGCAAATGGGCTGTTCAGAGCATCTCTTTATCCCAAGTATTTCTTCTTGAAAATGTAGTAGAAAAATATCACTAAACTCATTTTTAATGCGTCAGAATAAAAATTACAGGTGAAAACATTTGGAGATATACTGACAAAATAAAATATTTTCACTACAGTCATTTTTTTTTTTTAGCTGATGAAACGTGGATGTTATACTGGTTTTTTGTTATTTATAACATTTGTGTATTCTACAAAACATGTAACATTGAAAACAGGTCTGTAGATTGTACAAAATACTAGTTATCTTATATCATATGTCATCTAATAGTTATGAAGCGGGTTTTGTACCAAAGTAGGGATCGGAAAGCTGTAATTTGTTCTGCAGTTATCAGCCTGCATTAGAGGGTTATGATGAAGTGCGCTGCTTCAACACTAACATCCACATCCCCGTGCATTTGACAAATAAAAATGTACACTGAGATGCTATTAAATCTGTAAAGCCACGTTCTAGTTTTCTGATAACACTGACTTTGAAGCTTGTGCATAGCCCTGTTTTTTTTTCATGAGTAGTTATCTGTTTTCATGACAGGTGGTCACTAGCTGCCAAGAGAAAATCCAGCACTGGTGAGTGAAAGATGCTTTTATTACCTTTCTGAAATACTGATGAGGTCACCTATTTGTGTTTAAACAAAGTGTGTACTATTTTTTATTTTTTGGCATCCCACAATTGAATTCTTTTAGTGATCTCCATTTTGAATTATTTTGCTACTAATTTATATTGTCTTTCACTGTTGACTGATTTTCATTTTGTGTTCCATGATTTCCTGAAGTTGGGTCACCATTTACGTTTATTCTAATTGCCTTCTTTTTTCCATTCTTTTTTTTTTTTAAAGTTAGAATACTATTAATATCATTATAAAGTGATATGTGAAAATTTTGAGCTGGACTAATAGCTCTATTTGGAAATATTTCTTGTATTTTACAGTAGAATAATAATTGAAATCAGTTGTTTTAAAATAATGATGGAAATATGCACATTTTCCTGAAGTTTGAAAAATATAATTGCCTACATCTCAGAGCTTGCTTTATGGACTGTACTTTTTCTGAGTGCAGAGAGAAAGAAAGCATATCTATCACATCTATTTTAACGTGTTAATCTTTAGTTAATAGGACAATGCTTGCTAAATAACACACTTTCCCATGTCTTCTGAGGAAAACGCTCAGTTGAATGGTGAATAAAATCTTATACTGTGAGTTGTCGTGAGGTTGAGCTGTTGATCTTACAGATATCAAATTACAGTCTATCCATGCTGCGTTTACGAAGGTTTACTCTGCGAACAACAGGAGCTGGCTTGATTATTGTCTGCAGGGTTATTGCGAAATCATGGTTACTGCCCCCTTTGGCGGTGAGATTAAACCTTTGGTTATACACCATCAAGCATATAATATTTTAAATTTATTTTAAGAGGCTTTTTCTTCATGCCTGAGAGATCTCCAAGGAAATAATTTATAGTTAGTGTATATCAAATGTTTTTTGGTTCAAATGCACATAGGCTGCAAGCAGTGGATAAGAGTGGAAATCGGTGTAATCTGTACGCATCATCTTATTACATTCTGACTATTGGCTCGCAGAAAATCATCTAAAACCAATAATATCCACTTTATAAATAAAAATTCAGGGACTTCATTAATTTTCAATAAACGCACTGTTGGTGTCTGTCAGCATTTCTATAACGGACCATTCGCTTTGCATTATACATTCACTCTTAAGTTAAAACTCAAAATGCAAGTCCTTGGCCAAAGAATTGCTCTTCCCCCCGACCCCCCTCACCCTCACCCCTGGTTAATTAGGTCAAAGTGAACCATTTTACAAATTATTCATAGGGGAAGTCTTATGAATGCGGACTTCTCTGTCTAGGTTTTGGTAAGGTATTCAGGAAATTAGCAAAAGGTTGGACTCACTCAGAACAGATACTAATTTATACAAACGTGTGAATAACAACTTGCTCTGGTTTGTTTAGTGAGTCTCTCTCCCTGTTAGACTGAGCATTCTTGAAGGCTAGCAGGCATGCTTTGCCCCTTTCAGCCACAGCACCTCCTGCTGCGTTGGTCACATTATAGGCACTTAATAATCGTCTGAGTCAATGAAGACTAAATCGGCACAATGTATATATATATAAACATTCTGTTGAATTTTGTATATAACTTTTAGTTTATAATTTTATATATAACATTTTAGTTTGTGAGCACTGACAGACAGACAGGTGCCGTGCACTTCAGGGCAGGTTCACGTGACCTTCAGGGTCAGTCTCCATTTCCCCACCGCACTCCACGCTCTAGAACCGTCTTGACCTACACATCTGAAACGACTGGAGCATCTTGTCTGCACATTACGAGTTAAAATAATGCTTGCCAGTTCAAATTTGCTGTTTCCTCTGAACCATTCCTAATAGGGCCCAGGAAAGAGATGTTTCTGTTGGTTTTTTGTGAGGATCTGATGAGGAGCTAGAATCTAAATGACCAGTGAACTCACTAATTTATTATCTTAAAAACCTGAAACCAGTTTCTCTGTTCTTCTGCAAGCCAGGGGATCGCTGTGGGGGAGCACTGTGGAATTCTCGTGGTTGTTTTAGTCTCATATTCTACACACAATCCCCACCATACGCCAGTATTCTGCGGCTGTTGGAAGTGGAAGACCCTGCCTGCCATGCAGGAATTCATAGGCTTACCCGGAACAGGGAGATCCCGCTCATTTTGTGCTGTTGGCCGAGAGCTAGGAAGCCAGAGCAGAGGCTGGAGCCATTCTAAAGGGCGTCTCACTCACTGCCTTTAAAAGCGTGTTGCTTTCATCTGTGTTTAACCCTTGGTGGCAGCCTAGTCTGAAATACAAGTCGTCTGGCTGAGCTCCCCTTCCTTCTGGCGACATACTAGCAATAAGGACAGCAAGAGACGTGTTGTGTAGCATTCTTCTTCTAGTGATGTTTAGGCTTGTTTGTGCACCTTTAAAGAATTCTTTTATTTAAGGGACAAGTGATGAATATCCTAGGCTTCAAAAGTAATCTTCATGTTTTAAAAAATATAGGACAGGAAGTAAAAATACTTGTAGAAAAAAAAAAGTCGGAGTAAAAATGGCCTGGGGGCAACGGGATCTGCCCCGAAAATTTCTTCCAGAAAATTCATTCAAATCTCAGAACTTTGGTGAACTAGACATTTCTAGTATTTGTTTAGTTACCAGATGCAAAGGAAATGTTTGATCCTAATAGTTGAAAATTTATACAACACTTTTAGAGCTAATAGTGGTTTTCAATTTAGTGAAGATTAAAAAAACTTTTTAATGCAACTCTTTTCTTGTAATCCTTTTTATGTAACTCAGGAAATAAGGTATTTTAAAATCCGCACACTGTTTTCTCATAAAACGTGGATATGATGTTTGATCCACTAGAGGCTGATTATTGTGTTTGTAGATTATTGGTAACTTCTTATCTTTTAAATTCTTTCCCAAAGAACATGGGATTTGGAGGCACAGACCTACATTTGAATCCTGTCACTTGCTAACTTTATAACTTGGGTGAATTACTCAGATTTTCAGCTTCTCCCTGTAAAGTGATGATGACCCTACTTAACTTGAATCTCCAGTGAGATACTGTCTGCAGCGTGAACACCCAAACTGGCACTCAGTAAATATTAATATTAGCTCGGAAATCTTTTTTGAAAATTTGTCAGGTGACTAAAGAAAAACAAAAAACAAAAACCAGCCAAAGCTTTGTAATTCCTGAATATTTTGCCATTACCATCCTTTATCATGTTGGAGAGATGGCTTTCTGAACAATATTATTAAAGCTTTACATGCATGTTTTAAAATGATGTTTAATTATGGAGAATTTGAAACAAAAGGTGACAGTGGTATAGTGGACCCACATGTAGCCATCACTGAGCTTCCAAAATTATCGGCTCCTGGCTTCATCTGAACTGTTCCATTTAAGGAGCCTGCCCTACCCTCTGCCCCCACCTCCAACTACTGTGAAGTGAATCTAAAACATATCATTCCATCTGGAAATATTGCAGTACCTATCTTTAATACATAAAAGACTCTATATTTACTTTTTAAAATTTAAATTAAAAAACTTAAGGTTAGGCAACATATCCATGTTGTCCAGAATTTAAGGAGTACACAAGGGTATAAATGCTGTGTAGTATCCCTTTGCCCTCTCCCCTAATTCGCAGTTCTCTTCTTTGTAAACAACTGTTTTTTAACCAGTTTCTTGCAAACCCTTCCAGAAATTGTTTGCATAAGGCGTGTGTGTGTATTTATCTATGTATGTATATGCATGTGTGTATTCATCCACATGTTTTTATATTTTATACTCTCATCCTTTTCACAAAAATGAAATCAGAGCATCCCCTTTATTAAATACTTTTACCTTGGAAATTGTCCTCAATCATTAATTACCTCTAATTCTTTATTTCGTTCCTATAAACTTCCTTGTGCATCAAATGTCTAATTTTTAGAATTACTAAATTAGATTTGGTACTCATTTTATTTTTTAAATAATGGCCAATTCACTGAGTATGGCTTCTGTAATTCAAAATATATCCTTGCTAAGCGGTTATATTTATTGCTCCTTAATAAAATTACTCCAAAACTCAGTAGCCTAAAACCACAGCCACGACTTGGTCCGCTTCTGTGGAAGTGCACGCTGGACTGCCCCACCTGCGTTCTTCTGCTGGTCTTGTTCAGCCACATGGTGACTGGGCCAACTGGGTTGTCCAAAATGTCCTCACCCACAAACCTGGTGGCTAGTGCTGGCTGTTAATGTTAGCTGGGCCTCTCTGGCTACGCGCTGTTTTCTCTGGCTTACTGTATGTGATGATCTCAGGGCAGTGAGAACAGAAGCTGCAGGGCCACAGTTGTTGGTCAAAGGAACTCACAAAGCCAGCTCAGATTCAAAAGGTGGGAAAATAGACTCCACCCGTGGGCGGGGGAGTGACAAAAAATTTATGCTCATTTTTACTGCACGATAGATGACTTCTGTTGAACATGTCCCCCAAGAAAAAAGTCTCATGACTTATGTTGATTTGTGAGAATTAAATATGGCATGTGATGCCTATCACATGCAAATCACCTGTTAGTCATTGTTTGTTTGTAACAGTAAATTGTACTGTATGAATTGTAGAAATTTCTTGTCTAGCTTCCTTCAGTCATCCTAAGAGAGCTTTAAGTAGTAGAGGTGACTAGGAAATTACCTGAAGCAGACTTAAATGAAACTATAAAAAAAGGTGTTTTATATTCAGATGTTTAATTTTGGAAAGAATAGCTTTAACTTTGGATATAAAAATTCTGAAACATTTGAGTATGTGAATTTTGAGAGAGGAATCTTCAAGCAAATACTTGACATTTGTTATTTTTAAAGGAAACTGGATGAAAAATGCTGTTTTAAGGAAGAGGTATTTATCGGGTTGTCAGAAAAGTCATGAGTATTTTTTCTGTGGTTTTCATTGCAAAAATGCGTCATGACTTCTGAAAAACCAATAGTTTCTAGTATAGGTTGCAGTCAAAGTATACAGTGAGAAATAACCAAGAAAGCATACCTACATGGTTAAAAATCACAGTTGAAGATTCGTTAATTTCTTCTTTTTTTTTTTTTTTGAATTCTTCTTTCAAGTCTATCAGTATGGATGGATAGATACTGAGCTTGGATGTTTTTGAGGGATTCGCAGGGAACTATTTCATCATAACAGTGCAGTGGTTTGTGGTGTATTTCTCATGAATTTCCTGACTTGACTTCATATGCTTATATATAATTTGTTTTGTGTTTTATTATGCATAATCTATGAAGACTGATCTGCATGCCTTTAAAACTTAATTATTCATGGTGATCAGTCCCATCTTCAGTGTTAGGTAAATTTGGAAATCGTATTCTTTTCAGTCTCCATTTCACTGACCACAGCCTTTGTGCCTAATCCAACTTCCTACTTTAAAGTGAAAATTAGCAAAATCTTATTTTAACCAGTGTTTTATGTTTTGCTTTTTTATTATTTAAAACTATTATTTTTTTATTATTTAAAGAAAATTTTTATTTTTAAAGCTATTTGTTATTTTTCATTATTTAAAGGAAATTGGAGTGTCTTTCATTTGCCTCAGTCAAGGGATATAGAACTTTTTTTTACAAAGATTTTTTTGGGGCCGGCCGAGTGGCTCAGTTGGTTAAGAGCTCGCTCAAGAGTTTGAGCTCTGAGCAACAGCGGTTCGAGGCCAGCCCGAGCTGAGCAGCCGCTAAGCTGCCAATAGACAGCAGGATGGCTCAGCTAAAAAAAAAAAAAAAAGATTTTTTTTGTCACTTGCATTTAAGATTAAAAATATAAATCACCTCTCATGTTTCCTGCATCTCCTTTTTAATATTCTATTATGAAAACCTGCACACATACAGAAAAGTTTGAAAGAATTGTATAGTGAACCTTGATCCATGTATCTTACCTGTCCTTACCTCAGTCCATGAATCTGGTTTCCTGCTGCATTTCAGAGTCCGTTGGGGACATCAGTACCCTCCTCTGTAAATGCTCCGCATGCTCACCATTTAACTTCCTCTCATACTTGTCACAACTTCCTGAAAAGAAGGTGTTTCCTGTGGAATCTGCTCAGATCTTCATCCTTAAGATGAAGGCAAATTTGTAGCTGTGTTACTTCCTTCTCTGCTGCTTTAGCTTTTTAAACAAAGGTGTTTCTCAGAAGGCGTGTAACAGATGAGTAGCATTCAAAACAAGATGGTAAGTTTCTTATATGCTTGATAGCAGTGCTTTAGTTCTTATTTTCTATAAGGAACACGCCTGAGGGTATCCCAATGCAAATTAAATCTTATTTATTGGATTTTTTTTTTAAAGTAAGAATTGAAGGCTGCACCTGATCTATTAGGGTCAAATATGATGAAGGCAGACAAGGAGGTGTATAGATTATCTGTAGGCCTGAGAGGCTTACCCTAACCGTATCTCCGTCTTGTTTTCCATTTGAAAAAAATTATCTTAAGCAGGTGCCTCATGTGACTCCACATTTTAATATGACGATAGTGTCCCAAAATGAATTCTATGATTCTAAATAGTAGTAAAGTAGAAAAGACCTGTTCAAATTTTGGTACAAATAAAAGATTCCCTTGCTTACCTTCTGTAACACCATAGTTCTTAGGATTGTTTTTGTACTTTTTGCTGTCTAGGCATTGTGATCTTCAATGATCTAGATATTAGAGGGACTCTTTGGAGATGATTCTGACCAAGCGCTAAGTCCTGGGTATTTCCACTAGTGACCTTCAGAGAGAGAATGCCTCAAGCCACGGTCTCTCTCAGAGACATTGCTTCCTGCTTGCCTCCCTTCAAAAGGGATTTCTGCAGTGGGTTGTTGCATTTTAAATTATCTTCTCCTTTTTTATTTAAAACATTTTTTTATTTTTAAGAAACAATTTAAAATTTAAAAATTGCAATTCCAGCCTTAAAATGTCCTCCAGTATGTTTGCATTTTTATTCTAAAGAGGATTATTGATAAGTTTAAAACTGAATATACTGGATTTGGAATACTGATATTGATCTCTCTTGTATCACCTCTGGTTGAATTTACTGTTCTTTTAATTTACAAAGAGATGTTTTGTAAAGAAGTCCCCTTTTTCCTGTGTGGTTATCCCAGTAAGACATATTGAATGCTGACTTGCATACTCACTAGCTTTTTACAAGTTGTGGGAACATTGAGCTGATGTCTAGTCCTTGAGCATTTGCAGAATTACTTATCCGAAAACATATAAACTGTTAGTGTTCAGTAGATCTAATGATGAGTGATCACTGCCAGCATTGTGCCAGATGAGTTCCTGATAGAGAGTGTCCCTTTTATTGCTCACACCAATCCTGTCTCCAGAGCCCCCTGAGTGGTCACATTTAGCCATACTGTCTTTTAGTAGGCCTACTACTGTATCAAATGGAATGAATTTAGCATAGTGGAATCTTACCTTAGTGGGTGATAGTCTTTCTTGAAAGTGTTAGAATTGGTGTGTTTTGATACTCATGGAAAAGGGGGTGTTGAATGCTCAGTGTAGGTGTTCAGTGCCCGGCAGGGTGTTCAGCTCGTTATATTTAGTTCCCTTGAACCTGTGAGATAGCGTGGCATTATTTCCGTCCTGCCACTGAAGACCCTGAGATTAGGGCTAATGGGGTTAATTCGTGTGTGGTAAGTGGTGGGGTTGGGATTCACCCTGTGGTCTGACTTTCAAAGCCATATTTTTTCTGGTACGGTGCCCTCCCTGTGCCCGATAAAAAGTTTTGTTTTTTTTTAATCATTTGAGTCATGTAAAAATTTATCCAGAAGGATGATCTTGCCTTAAACTAAAAGACATTTTATGTTGGTTTATAAAAAAAGGATTTTGGGGGCAAGTTTAAAAACAGCTCTTGAACACTAGAAAATGAAAAGACTTGCAGTACATACAGGTCAGGAGACCCAGTGCTTACCTCTCCTTGATAGATCTGATTTCTCCTACTTGTCTGCTTTTCCATCTTTCTCTTTTGTAAGAGGAAAACGTTGACAGTGGTATTTACCACAGGAATATTTTTAGGATGAATAGCATATATGTGAAATCCTTGATGTTCTTTAGACTAAATGAGGTAATTTTTATTAATTATGCCACTGTTGCTTTAGGGGAGCTAAGGAGTAAACTGAAACCAATTCCACAATGTTTATAGAACAGTCATTTTTATTATCTGGAGAGCGATTGTCTACGTTGTAATTTATCCTAATTTCAGTTCGACAATATCTACATGTTCTTTTAAATTACTTGTTGAATTGGTGAGTTTTTTTGTTATTTTAAAAAATTGACAGAACCCTTCTGCTTTAAAAAATTTTCGGTGCTCTGGTTTTGTCTGCCGCCTACACCCTAGCAGCGGACCCTTCGGAAACCTCATCTCCAGAGAACGTTTGCAAACAGGCATCTCAGCTTGGGGCTGTTCACTCCCAGCAGGTGTAGGTACTGAGTAGGTCCATAGCGGGAAAGGGGTGACCATCGGTGCGCCCACAGAATTACATCTTTTGGTTGTTTGAAATTAATTTATTAGGTAGCTCTGTTTTGATACAACATGAAACAAAGTCCAAAGCCAAATCGAAATGGTTTTTGTATTACCTCTACCTCATTTCCTCTAGCCCCTGGTTGGTTCTGTCACCTTAATCACATTACTGTGAATAACTGAACTCCACATCTTGCAGCCTGAAGTTTTCTGAGGAGGCTGAAGCATCTGATCAGGTTTCGTGTTCACGATTTCTGCTCCACAGCCAGTGTTTATTCACTCAAAAGCTGTGTCAAATCTCTTCTTCCTTCATCTTGAGTTTCCCTCTAAACATCAGGCCCTCCTTCACTATCTCCCTTAATTGCCAAATTTTATTTAGCTCAGATTATCTCCTACCTTAGGAAACACTAATTCTCAAGATGTGAGTGTTCTACTTCTAAAAGCCAAAGTCCCTGAGAGTCTTAATTCTTTCGTAAATGTATGCTGGAATAGTGCCATTGCTAAACTTTGCAAAAACAGGATTTTTAAATTAAAAACCACTTTAATCTTTAAATTGCTAAAATTAGGTTTTTGATTTTGTTTGTCTTATGATACATAGCTTACTCGGGGAATTAATTTGTGTATTCATTTAGTATTTGGTATTTTTTTGTCAACAGGAAGAAGGTAGATAATGATTATAATGCCCTTCAAGAAAGACTCAGTACCCTGCCTGATAAATTGTCTTACAATATCATGGTATGTCTGGTGTGTTTCTTTCAGAGTAGTATGTGTGTTGTTTCTTGTGAAGATGTTAACTGTGTAAAGAAAATGTTTCTTTACCTTTTGTGTATCAATTCACAAATTGCCAACCTGATGGAATGTATCAGAGGCAACTACAACATGGATAATTTGTTTTGTTTTACTTTATAATAATACGCCAATTATAACAATAGTTGATATTTCCTTCTTTTCCTTATTTTCAGATTTATATTAAATTATCACATTATGGTGAAATAAATGGCATAAATGTTAGCACGAAATTTGACATATTTGGTATGCAGATTTACTGTGTTAGAAAATTGTAATTATGACAGAAATATAGCACTTAGTCATTTCCTGTTAGCCAGAGCAGGAATAGACCATTATGTTGTGTAATTCACAGAATTGAACCCTAGAACATTGATTTTATATAAGAAGATACTGCTAGTTTTTGTTTGAATGATCTTCATATCGACATAGTTGTCTATTCATGAGCCCTGGATTAGAGTCTCTCATTGCATAATATTCTCTCTCACGAAGACTTCACACTAGCCCAAATACTTTGTAAGTGTATTGTTCTTTATTATACTAGCCCAATATTTTGTAAATTTTGTAGACTCAGTAAAGCTATTTATTTGTTCATTCCTGCTTTGAAAAAAAATGGCTATTTTATTGGAAATAATTTTGAATTATTTTCATCAAAGCTATTTGTTAACTTAATGTTTTATTACTAATTTGCTTTCATTTAGATTTATGAATGAACAAAAAGTATAAACATTCAGAGACTGCTAATTTCTCTGAGAGCTATATGTAAATGTGCTGATACCTTTTCCAGTTTTGGCATTGATTTATTAACCTAAAACAATTTTCTATAGGTTTTCCTAGTGAAACTTTAATATAATGTTTAATTTCTGTGAAGTTGACATTTTATTTTTCTTAGTGAATAAAGTAAAAAAAGGCCTCAACGCAGAGTTTTTAATTCTGTTTTGTAAAATGTATTATTTTAGTGTTTTCAATTTTTAATTTTTTTTTTTTTTAAATAGGTACCATTTGGCCCCTTTGCCTTCATGCCAGGAAAACTTGTCCATACTAATGAAGTTACTGTTTTACTTGGGGACAACTGGTTTGCAAAGTGCTCAGCAAAGCAGGCCGCGGGCTTAGTCGAGCACCGGAAAGAACGTATGTATGAATTGTCAGCAATGTTTCTTTGCTAGATGTGGATTGGGATCACAGAGTACCAGGCAGATGGACTGTTTGTCACAGAAAGTCCCTTCTGTGATTTCTTAGTTCAGGCTCTTTGTGATTCTGTTGATTGGAGGTAGTTTGACTAGAGCCAAAGTGTGAGAATGTGAACTGGATAATGGGGCATCTAGGCTGGAATGTCACCCATGTTAGCATGTTTTCAGAAATTGCAATGTGTAAATGATATCATGATATGTGGTTTTGTGATCGAAGTTGGGGTCATTTTATATTTCATAATCGCTTTGTTTTAGGTACTTTCATAGACTTGCTTTTAATACTTAAGTATGCAGAAGGCATTTACTTTCTATTTACTACTGAACTGCGAGAAATGCCTTTTTGCAAAAGTAGAAACAATTCTTAAACATGCTTTTTGGTTTGGAAGAAGTCATATTTTCATTTTAAGAAAGAAGAGGCCAGGTATGGGGAGGTGCTCCCTAAAATGGCACCCTTATACTTGTTAAGTGGTTTGAAGTCTCTGCCTCATTTTATTGAGATAGTTCTTTAGTTTTGTTTATCTGTGATAGTATTTGTTGTTAAATGTATCCAGTCACACACACACATTTTTGTAGTTAGATTGGTTGGCGTGGATTCTAGCTTAGTTGCATTTTAAAATTAGGGTTATTAATCTATGTTCTAATTTCTAGCATACTTCAGTTGATAGTACAATATCAACCCTACCTGCTTTTTAACCTTCTAGTTAAATGTGCATTTGAAAATAAATTTTTGAGGATCCTTCAGTATAAATGAGGTCATGTAGATAGAAAACAGCTGAGTTTTCTAAAGCTGAAATTATTTCCCTTATACATGAGTGGGTACTAGTTAAAGAACTCATTTACTCAGTGAAATTCTGGGATCTGTATTTGGAGACTCTAATTGCAAATCAACTCCTGTAAGTTTATAATTGATACATATTTTGATCTATTGTAGCTCTAATCAGAATCTTATTGTTAGGCCTGTATATAATTTCTGGCAATGATCATTCTTTTGGCATTACTACATTAAGCTAAGTTATGTATATATGTTAGAGAAAAGAGAATGGGCAAAATTCTTTCTTAAAAGCCGTTCTTAATGGGAGAGTCTTTATTTACTGGGGTGATTCTGCTGGTATGAAGCCAGTTTATAGTCTGGTGAAGTTTTTTCATTTTGATTTTCATATGGATATTTCAGCAAAGAAATCTTTAGACTCAATTATGACTTAATATATTAACTGGAAAATACTTTGCGTGGAATAGAATAGAGCTCTAGAATACAGAAATATTTTTTTGGTAAATCACTTTCCAATGTTAAATATGGTTTTGGGATTGACCACATATAATGGCTTTTGGGATCAATATTTATATATAGTAATTTTCAGAATATGCTCATGTACAGATACATTATGTTTGAGAATCTGTTATAATAAATTAATTCTAAAAAGTTGTTTTATTTATGCAGTTTTTTTATAATAACTGAAGAAAAGGTTTAGACATATTATTGTACTTAACATTTATTAAGAAAAGATATTTTTCTTAAGGCAGCAGAAGTATAACAAGTTAAACATACAGTCACCTGCCTCACTGTTGACCAGGGTCATTGGAGAAGGCAGAGGGAGGCCCATTGCATGTTAAAAAAGAGTCAAATGGACGAAACGTTTAACCCAACAACAACCAACCACAACAAAAGGATTCAGAAGTGCTCTGAGGAAGATGATTCCTAAGAGAGTGTCCTACCCTTTGTGTTCACATCTTGCATTTTTGCCATTTAACATGCAAAGGCTTATAAATTTTTTATTTCCATTTTAAAGCATTTTTAATTTTTAGAATTAGGAAAGTGAAATTGACTTTTTATTTGGTATACTATTCTGTGAGTTACAGCACATGTAAAGATGCATTCAGCCAGCGGCACAATCAGGACACAGAGCAGCATAAGGACACACCACAGTCAGGACGCAGGATCCCCCCAAAGCTCCTTGTGCCTCCATCCTACCCGCTCTCCTCAGGCTGACAGCCAGTGATCTGTGTCTGCTGCTCCTCATTTCACCCTGTTCCAGAATGTCATGTAAAGGGAAGCAGACACTGGGTAACTTTCTGAGATGGGCTTCTTTTACTCACCACAGTGCCTGACCCAAGTGGTTCTATGCGTCAAAATTCATTCCTTTTTACTGCTGCGTATTGTTCCATTATATACATGTACCACTGTTCTTCTATTCCCCCATTTGAAGGACACTTGGGTTGCTTCCATTTTGGGGGCAATTATGAGCAGAGCTGCTATCAACCTTTGTGTACAGGGTTTTGTATGACCATAACTTTTATTGCTGTTTCTCACTCCTGACAAGTGGGGCTGCTAGGTCATATGGAAAGTGTATGTTCAACTGCCCAGCTGTCTTGTTCTCTGTCCCCTTGACTCCAGCAAGCTATGAGCGCCCTCGTAGCTTTGCGTTCTGACCACCACCTTGGTATTGTCCATTTAAAAAATTTTAGCCATGTGAATAGGTTTATGGTGGTTTTAATTGGCGTTTCCCTAATGGCTAATGATGTTGAGCATTGATTCATGTACTTATTTGCCTTCTCTATATCCTCTTTCATTTGCTGAAGTCTTTTGCCCATTTAAAAAAACTGGGTTGCATTTTTTCTTACACTTGAGTTTTGAGAGTTCTTTATATATTCTGGATGCAAGTCCTTTGCTGAATATATGATTTGCAAATATTTTTTCCCAGGCTGCATCTTGTCTTTTTATTCTCTCAACAGCCTTTCCAGAGCAAAAGTTTTTAATTTCGAAGTCCAATTTATCACCTTTTTTATAGGTCATGTGTTTGGTGTTATATTAAGAATTCTTTGCCTTACCCTCGGTTCATGAAGATTTTCTCCTATGTTTTCTTCTAAAATGTTTATAGTTGAACACACTTAGCTCTGTGATTAATTTTTGTACCAGGTGTGAGGTTTTGTTCACGGTTCAGTCTTTTTACATATAGATGTCCAATTGTTCCACCATCATTTGTTGGAAATAACTCCCCTTTCTCCATTGAATTGCCTTTGCACTTCAGTCAAAAATGAATTGGTGATCAAAACCACAGTGAGGTACCATTTCACCCCTACTAGAATAGTTACAATAAAAAAGAGTTCATGTATTGGTGAGGATTGTGTCCTCAGACATGGCTGGTAGGAATGTCAACTGTGCATCCACTTTGAAAAACATTTGGCGGTTTTCATAAATTTAATCATTGAGTTACATGTAACCCTGTTCCACACCTAGGTAATCTTATACCTGAAAGAAACAAAAATGATGTCTGCATAGAAACTTGGACCTGAATATTAATAGCAGCATTATTCATAATAGGCCCAAAGTGGAAACAACCCAAATGTCTATCAACTATTGAATGGATAAATTAAATATGAGTGTTATTTGGCAAGAACATATGTGGGAGTGTTTATTTTTGGGTTCTCTATTCTGTTTGTGGTCTGTATATCTGTCTTAATGCCAGTACCAGAGTGTTTTTCATTACTATAGCTTTGTAGTAGGTTTTGAAATCAGGAAAAATGAGACCTCCAACTTTTACCTTCTTTTCCAGCATTGTGTTTTGGCTATCATCTTTTGAGATTCCATATGAATTTTGGGGGGAACTTTCTCTATTTCTGCAAAAAATGTTGTTGGGATTTTGATAGGCATTGCACTGAATTTGTAGATTGCATTGGGTAATATTGACATCTTAACAATATAAAGTCCTCCAATCCATGAACACAGGATATCTTTCCCATTTATTTGTGTCTTCTTTAACGTCTTTCAGCAACACTTTGTAGTTTTTAGTGAAGTCCTTTGCCTCCTTGGCTAAATTTATAACTAAATATTTTATTCTTTTAAATGCTATTATAAGTGTAATTATTTTGTTAACGTCCTTTCTGGATTCTTCATTGCTGATATGTAGAAATGCAACTGATTGTTGAGTGTTGATTTCGTATGTTGATTCTGCAATTTTGCTGTATTTGTTTATTAGCTCTTAACAGTTTGTGTGTGTGTGTATGTGTGTGTGTGTGTAATGTTGAGGGCTTTCTACGTTTAAGATCACATCATCTGCCAATAGAGATAATTTGACATCTTCCTTTCAAATTTGGATGCTTTTTATTTCTTTTTCTTGCCTAATTGCTCTGGCTAGACCGTCTAGCACTGTATTGAATAGAGATGGTGATAGTAGGCATCCTTATCACGTTTCTGATCTTCAGGGAAAAACCTTCAGTCTTTCACCATTGAGTATGAAGTCAATTTTGGATTTTTCATATATGGCCTTTATCATGTTTAGGAATTTACCTCTGTTCCTGTTTATTGAGTGTTTTGTATCATGTAGTGGTGTTGGATTTTGTTAAAGGCTTTCGTTGCATCAATTGAGATAATAATTTTTTTTAATCCCCATTCTATTAATGTAATATATTGATATTGATTGATTTTTGTGTGGTGACTCTCTGAAGATTATCCATCTAGGTCATGGAGTATAATTTTTTAAATATGCCGCTACATTTTGTTTGCTGGCATTTTTTTCTGTTTTTTTGAGGCTTAATCAACGTACATCACTTTATGAGTTTCAGGTATACAGCATAAACGTTTGAGTTACATATATTGTGAAATGATTACCACAATAAGTTTAAGTAACATATTTTATCTCATATAGAGACAATACAGGGAAGTGGAAAAATATTTTTTCTCCTTTTAATGAGAACTCAGGATTTACTCTTTTAACAACTTTCACACATATCACACAGCAGTGATAACTGTAGTCCCCATGCTGTACATTACGTCCCTATGTACTTACTCATCATATAACTGGAAGTTTGTACCTTGTGATCACCTTTCTTCGATTCCCCACCCCTCCCCGTGTGCTAGCATTTTGTTGATGATTTTTTTTTTAAATAAATTTTATGGGGCAACAGTGTGTTTTTACAGGACCCATTAGCTCCAAGTCAAGTAGT